GGGCTGGACTCCGGATGCCATCAGCACTCAGGCAACCAGATGACAAAGCCTTTTGCGAAGGAAAGCCTGGTTAAAAGGACTACGCAAGGCCTTCCATTCAGTTTGTTGTGGAAATTTAAACTAGCACTCCTGAACCCCATAAAGTGACATGAGATGATTCATGCTCTCATTAAAGATCTACTTTTACTTCTTATAGCTAGCCACAACATATAAGTAACGTCGTCGATGCTTACGGAAAACACATTTTCGCCTCTTCTAAACTAGCTTCAAAATAAATGTGGTTTCAAAAGGGACTATTTTTCCTCGAGATTTTCATTTAACCTGTGATGCATTAAAACCTGTTGTTGTGGGTCGGGGTGGTGATGTTGCCACTCGATGGATTTGACCCGGTTTCGATGAGGCCCAAGTGAGGTTGAAACTAGAGTTCAACCTCAAAAAATAAGCATCTTGAGACTAAGTAAAATTAAATTGAATCATGAGAGCCTCAATTTATTTCATATCTCATTTTCTTATTCAAGACCAAATGATATTTTTGAAGCGTACTCAATGAGGCTTTACGCGGGCTGCCTTTATGATGATCGAGTTTAATTAAGTCAATTTGAACACTTTATATATTTGTGCTAATATTACCAAAGGGAACATAATTTCAGGGATAAAAATGAATGTATTAAAACACTCTACAGATAGCGAACGAAATAAATGGTTAGGCCGTAAAAAAATCACAGTATAAATACAAAAACTACAGCTCTATTAAAATTTGTTTGATCTTGTTTTCTATACTTTGTCATATTGGTAGGAACACCTAGAAGAATTCCCCTTTGTCCGGAGTTCATTGTATGCATGATCATTTCCAGAGTCGGACCGTGGACTTGGTACATTTCCAGACGTTTCGCCAGCATCATCAGCGAGCCTTGTCATCGTTAGCACCACACCACAGCTCGTCTGAGAGACAGGTGAAATCGATTATTTGACCAATTGTCTGCTGAACAATTGTGGTATCTCTCCTTCTGTCCTGGGCTATTCACCAATCCTATATCCTCGAATAACCCCTTCAATATAACAAGTTATAACTTATTTCTCACAGCCTAGTTGGGGTGTGCCATTTTGACCGGATTTAACCGGAAGTGTTGATCCAAGACTGCCGTTTAGTCCGCACTTTTCATCCTCCAAGTCCTATCATAGTCCTCCTCCTGCTCCGTAGGATCAGTTTCATATCTGCCTGGTTCAGTGCTTCCACTCGATCGCTGCCGACCAAACAGGAGAAGGTTGGCAAACTGGATTGCATATAAAATGAGGCAACTGTGAGCTAAATTATATTGATGAATCAGGAATAAAATTCAGCCTACAAATCAAGGAATAGCAAAGACTGTGCAGAAACATGGATACAGAAAGATCGTAAATAGAGGAACACATTTCACGGACGGGAACCAGTGGGGAGTGTCAGTAGGTCTCAGTAACTCCGAGCAGAAGGGCATACCTCGACTAGGCTTAGATGAGCAAGTAAGAAATTGTGGGATATTCCGAGGATATAGGATAGATGAATACACTCTCTACAGAAGGAGAGATACCACAAGTGTTTAGCAGACAATTAGTCAAAGGATCAACTTCATTTGTCTCTTTGGCGAGTTGTAGTATATTGCTAAGCTTGACAAGCCCCACTCACAATGCCGGAGAAACTTCTGGGAATGCACCAAGCTCATGGTTCGACTCTGGCAATTTTCATACATTCTATAGACTTCGTACAAGGTTCCTTCCTATAGGTCTTTCTGCTAATATAATAAAGTTGCTAAAACAAGGTCAAACAACTACTATTCAATGTGGTTCAGGAGTATTAGTTTAACTTTCCACAACAACTATACTAAAGACCACACTATTTTGATCTTCATGTCTTTGATTATAGCTTTATTGGCTAGTGTTTTTGTCTTATAGGCTTATGAACAAAATAAAGCCTGGAAGCATCAAGAAGATCAACGAGAATACGACTGCCCCATTCAAAGTAATGGAGAATATAAACGCTTTTCAAGATGCCATTAAAAAATACGGCGTTCCGACGACTGACATCTTTCAGACTGTCGATCTGTTTGAGAAGAAGGACATTGCACAAGTTACGCAATGTCTCTTTGCTCTTGGCCGCACAGTAAGTAAAAGAGGAAAGCTTGTGTTAACTTATCAATTTTATACTTTCATACCGAATGCTACATTTTTGAGTCTTCTAGGGCTGAGACAAACAACTTTTGAAACATTTTAGCTATATCCTACCAGGTATTAAACAGCTTGTTTGTAGGAGAGTCGCTTTCAGTAATGCTGACCTGTGAACTGTTGCGAACAACGTTAGACTCAATTTGTCTATTTTTCGAATTAGGTATTGTTTTCCTGACTACCAGTAAATCGATAATATGAGATGTATTCACCCAATTTTGTTTAAGATGATGAAGGACTGGTAGAAGGAGAATTTTCCCACAATTATATGAGTTGAGCTGACGTTTCTATTTAATTTTCCATTGCCTTGCTTTCCCAAAAGTTGTTCTTATCCAGGCAGAAGTGGATTGCAGTTTCGACCTCGCATCGGTCTTATCAACACCCCCAGCGGTAGTCGAACTATCTCTAAATTTAAATAACTTGTTCTTTTCCATATCATAAGTTTCTTTTAACTCCTGAATGGAGGCCTGGTGAAGAAGCTTAGTCCCGTGTCCTCTGCCATAATATTCGTGATTTCCAGTATTGGACCATTGGCTGGGTCCATTCCCAGACGTTTCGACGGCCTCGTCAATGAGGGGCGTCATCAATAGCACAGAATTACAACTTATCAAAGTGACAAGTGAAGGCAATGCCCTTGACCAATTTTATGTTCAACCGTTGTGGTACCACTCCTCACCTATATTTTTTGTTCTACCTTCTAGTGCCGCATCTCTTTCCCTCAACCCCCCTTCCTATCGAACATCTACTTATTCACACAATTCTATGCCCTCGGGACTAGATACGTTCCACAATGTCTCACTGACGCTGCGACCAAAATGCGAAAACATGGTCGAACCAACACTATAGAGCTAAGGGAGACTACGATCAAACAGAAGGCTACACCTTCTTGGTCTTCATATATTCACCAGGCTGCTTTTGCCCTGTCGTGGGTGGCTAGTACCACAGGAGATGGCAATTGAGACTGGCTATACCTAAAATCCAAGTATAGACTTACTGAGATTTAAAATTTTATGAGATACCTGGGTTGAGTTGATCTTTGTCCAACGGCTCATTAAAAGCAATGTGTTTTTTTGCAATAAAGTTTCAACCTTTATTCTAGAACAATTCTTTTCCGGGTATACGCTCAAATTGTCATCGCTCCCTTCTTTTCACTGACGCGGTATTAATTTGTCAAGGTTTTCAGGCTCCATGGGTAGGATCACACAAAAGCTAATTATAACCTTTACACGAATAAGAATCCGTCAGAGACTTGAAACCTTGGTCTATCCTGTCGACAAGGAATCACTTTTATCCTCCTCAATTCACACAACTATAGCTGAACTCCACAAGCCAATTTACAGTAAATGACTCATCCACTGAGAACTGACATACTTTATCACTCTTACTTAATATTTTAATAAGCAAATTTGAATAAACATTGTAAACGTATTCCCTCCAATCAGTGCCAGACGCATTCCGACTACACGGGCCCGGGGCTGGGACCAAAGCTTGCCGTGGAGAACAAACGCGAATTCACCGAGGAACAGATAAAAGAAGGACAAAATGTTATCAGCCTACAGTACGGAACAAACAAGGGCGCCTCTCAGGCCGGCATGTCAATGGGCAAACAGCGAATGATCAACGATTAACTGGAGGTCAAGTGTACCGTCCTACCTCCGACAAACAAGTTCGTTTACTATACAACGCATCGAAGGAGCATAGAGGCGAACTTCTTTAAGCCCAAGCAACTAAATCTAAATTATATTTTTGTTTATGCGTGTGTATGAATGTGTGCATGTGTGCATCCATAGCAAAATTACTAAGCTTATTCTATCAGACTGCCTCTCTCCTCCAGGTTATTTCCTAAAATACACTCATCTTCACAAGCTATTATTCGGAGCACTAATTATATTCTAAATGATTTATTCAAATACGAATAAACTTCGCGCTAACCTCTCTTCACATATCCTTGTTTGTGAAGCATCCGATCCCTTCATGACCGTTCTACTCTTGTCAACACATTTTTGCACAATGCCCTCACTGTCATCTTAATATATGAATGATATCGTGTTATGCTAAATTTTACCCAATAAATACATATAAAAATTCAATAATCGTGCTCGTTGTAATTAGGGGACATATAAACGACCAGCAATTTAGTGGCTGACCTTGTGGAGCACATCAATACATACTAACTAGAATCCATTTAGAACTCACCACTTTTTGGTGTTTGGTATAAATTTATAAATGAAAATTCGAAAAGTTGCAAAAATGCACATGACCTGAGATCTCAGCACTTCGAGGATGGGGTGCACAGGTTGCATAATGCCCTTTAAGCTGATCTGTGGGAGATAAAAGAGCATGCTGAATCCTGACTCTTAAAATCTTCAGACTGTATCTTTCTTTTATTTGGTTCCCTTGACCAGGTACTTATATTCAGGTCGTTTGCTGCGCAGTTCTTCCCAAATGGGCTGTCCAATCCGGGTTTGCGTCACTTTTGAGTTTAATTTGGTTTTATCTGGACCCCCAATGAGATTCTGATCCATATAGACATAGTGTGACAAATCCGAGTTACAGATAAGGCGTTTTCCTCAATTCATCATGCGTAGAAATAGCTGTAAAGCAAAAAGACATACAGAATTTGTTTCACCTTATTGTTGCAACTTGGTCATATCGGTATGAAGAATTAGAGGAGTCTATTGTATGCATAATACTATTCAGTCGGACCGTGGACGTGATACATTTCCAGAAGTTTCGCCGGCATCGTCATTGAGTCTTTCCAGTCTTAGCAACACACTACAACTCGTCAAAGGGACAAGTGAAACCGATACTTTGACCAATTGTCTGCTTAACAATTGTTATAGCTATCTTTCTGCCTTGGGCCAATCACCAATCCTGTATCATCGTATCACCCCTTCACTATCACCATTTTTATCTCCTTATTTAAATGTTGTATTGTGTGCCCTATTGAGCGGATCTTATGAGAGCTCTCAACATCCCACACTAGCTTTCTTACCCCCTCATCCCCCCCTTAACCCTTGCACTGGGAATGTCGATCAGAGACTGCCATATTGATCTGCAGTCCTCCTCCCATAGGTCTTATCAGAGTCACCCTCTTGCCCTGTAGGATCAGTCTGCTTTCTTCCTCATTCAAGTATTTCACTCGAACCCTGCCACCCCATCTGGGCTATTCGAGGCGATATTTCCCACACTCTGCCTTTTGGGAGACCAACTTGAGGCTAAAGAAACAGAGTAATTATTATGGTGAAGTCTTTGCTTCATGGACCACATTAAAGATCAAACACCTCTACTGTTAGCCAACTGGATCTAGTCTTCGTCGCGTCTATCATGTTTCTAGCCAAAGTTTTAATATAGAACCACAACATTTGTAGGTTGGCACACAAGAGAATAGGGTATAATAAGTCAAGGACTTGGTATTATGGATAGAAGCACGAAATAGGCGGTTGAGACTAGAGCTAGTTGACTAACAGTAGAGGTACTTGATCCTTAATGTGGTTCATGAAGCAAATACTTCACCATAATAATTACTCGGTCGCTTTAGTTTCAAGTTAGTCTCTCAGAGGCAGAGTGTGGGAAAGAACGCCTCGAATGGCCCAGATGGGGTGGCAGGAGTCGAGTGAAATACTTGAACCAGGGAGGTAGCAGACGGATTATACGGGGCAAGAGAGAGACTCTCATTAGACCTATGGAAAGAGGACTACAGAACAATATGGCAGTCTCTGATCGACGTTCCCGATGCAAGGGTGAAGGGGAGGATGAGGAGGTGAGAAGGCCAGCGTGGGATGTTGAGAGTTCTCATGAGATGCGCTCAACAGGGCACACAATACAACATTTAAATAAGCAGGTAACAATTGTGATAGTGAAGGGGTGATACGATGATACAGGATTGGTGATTAGCACAGGGCAGAAAGAGAGATACCACATTTGTTAAGTAGACAATTGGTCAAAGTATCGGCTTCACTTGTCTCTTTGACGAGTTGTAGTGTGGTGCTAAGAATGGTAAGGCTCACTTAAGATGCCGGCGAAACTTCTGGAAATGTACCAAGTCCACTGTCCGACGATGCAAATGATGATGCATAAAATGGAGTCCGGACTAGGTGCGTTTCTTTAAGTCTTCCTACCGATATGACTAAGTTGCGAAAACAAGGTCAAACAACTGCTATACAACGGCTGGAGACTGCGACCATACAAAAGACAGCACCATCTTGATCTTCACACCTTCGCTTAGGTCCTTTTTTTGGATCTCTCAGTAAAAACCTATACGTGCCAGTATCATTTAAATGAACTTGCATCCTTTCTACACAACTTGATCTTGCCATGACTATCATTCCTCCACCTTTGTCGGCTTTAGTGACAATTAGGCGATTTAAATTTCCAGAAACCCTATTTAGGACACAAGATTGCTTTGACAGAACCAATATCAAAGATAATTAGCCAAACCATCATATATCTATCTATGCCTGTTCATTTTCGCTTCTAGTTATGAGTATATATGAGAGGTGAGATAGAGCCGGATATTCTTCTTGACAATGTTAACGTGAGACTTTTACAAGAATGAGTTTCAGCCCTGATGATGTCCATCATATGATGGGTGAAAGCTCAGCCCATCTTCATCCTAAGCGAGTGAAGACGTCTTGTGGACTGAGTAAACTGAACGTCGTGGTAAAGCCCAATGGTATCAGTAATACGGGATTCAGCCGTCGTCTTCTGTTGAGATTAACCTAGGAATCTATTTTTGGTGCACTTTCATTCAAAATCAATGTCTTCCCAATAATGTTATCTCAGAAGATTAATCGAAACCCAGTTACACTTCATATCTAAAATATAAATTAGTATGCAATTGGAAATATAGGCTTCATGGGCTCTAGACATGCAGATAAGGCCTGAGCAAGGCCTTAAGAGAATAAGAAGAAAAGACGAGCGGAAGGGATGCCTAAGTTTTCATTCACCATATTTCGTTTAAGGTTATGAAGGTTAGATGAGTTCCACTGGTACATTCACAGTAAAATCAATATAATTGAGTTGATGTACCATAGAGCATAACCTAACTTAGGCTTTATTCATGTATCGAGCTAGCACTTGGGTATCTTTTGATTAAAATTTCTTAGCCAACTATGGAAGTTAAGAAAGGTTTGCTTTACCTTGAAAGTAGTACTTGCTCTTTAACTCGACGGGTTTCGGTGGCCTAAAGGTTAACGTGTTTATTAGTAAACTAACAAATGTACAGGTAGAATCCTGTCAGGCTTTTGGTGAGACGATTAAACGGCGTTGAAACTTGTCC